GGACTTTTAAAAGGGGGGATTCAAAGGATAACCTCCAGGTGTGCTATATCAGGAATCGTATTTGTAGCCTCAAGAGGTATCAATAAATTAAACACACACACACACACACAAATACCCACTAATGACAGCTGAGCTAATGTGCTATGAGACACCTCACAACCTGGACCCATTCCAAAATAATTCAAGCTTTCAGTTGGGTTCCCAAGAATCCCTCCGAATAACTGTCTGATGTAAATCCATATTTTGGGAAGGCCAACATCTCAATTGCTGTGCTCATCTCCTTGAGGGATAACATCCAAATGAGTTAGGGAAATTTGATAGCGGGGAACATGTGTATGAGGGGACGACTCTTGTTCCGAGAGAATATTACCGGAGGCCCGGGGTTGGGTGAGGTGGGAGACAACCACAGACGGGAATTTCAGATGGATACTTTTAGAATCTTAGAAAATGTGGCCAGTTGGGGCGAGTCAGGAGTCGGGCTCCCGCTTCCTTTTTCTCTCTCCCATATCTAGAAATCATAGGAAATGCCAGCAAGTTTCGGGGGCATAGGGTCAGGGGTGGTGTAGTAGCTCATGGGAACACCGCAGGCAGAGGGAGTGACTAGGCTATGTTGGGAATACCCAGCATGCGATTCCCAGCGCTTTGCCTTGGGCGCCTTTTAGTCCAGTTTCTCTTTGAAGTTACAGAGAGCCTAAAAGTTCGGTTTCCAAGTTAAGGGCTAAAGTTATTCAAGAAGAATTGAAAGTGAAAAGATTTCTTTTTAACATCACCAAACAGGTCCGCGTCTAAATCCGTTTTGTCCCCATCGGTGCCCCGTAACCTTTTTTGTTTCCCGCCCAGCTCTGCGTCACGCGTCTTTTCCCGCTGTCGTCTCTACCTAGCTCTTTCTGATTGGCTTAGACGCGACCCGAGCCCTTCCTGATTGGAAGCGGTGACTGGCAGTTCGACCTTCCTCCCGCCGCCGTGTTAGGTTGAGCTAGAGGCGCGGGGGAAGAACTGGGGAAACTGGAATTTCCCGCGGAGCTGACGGCGTTTGCTCTCCCCCTACTCGTTTTAATTCCACGCGCTCCAAAATATACGCCATGGAGAAATCTTGGTAATGACCCATTCCCCGTAAGCATCCCAGGAAACACATCTGACCCTTGCCCTAAGCCGTTGGGGGAGAATTCTGGGTAACCAATTTCTCTGGTTCCCCCAGAGAATTCTGGGTAACGATTCGTTTCCATCATTTTCCCCATACCCCCGCCCCATTTGTGGATAACTGGCCACCCTAGAGAATTCTGGGTAGTTATTACAGAGGATTGTGGAAAACTGACTGGTTTTGGCTTCCTCGTTGCCTACCTCTCCATCTCCAATTCCAGGAAACAAGCATCATAGACCTTGCTTTCTAACTCCAACCTCTTCGCAGTACTTGTTCCCTTTACCTGGTGGTTCAGGGTTGAACCAGGAAGTGAGCAGATCTGAAGGGAGGAGAAAGGGAAGTCGAAGATCAGTTAGATAGTGGGTTCTTCCACCTTCACCCTACTGCCCATCCCTCTCCTGCCTGTTTCATCCTCTGCCTGACAGTTTCATCCCTTCTGCCTGTCTCATCACTCTTCTGCCCATATAATCTAGAGGACACTAAATACTAGTATCTGTGCTTACTCATGACTCTACTACCTCTTTCCCCTTGCAGGCCATGATATCCATTCTAGGCCCACTGGTGCTCTTCTGCTGAAGGTTGGCTCAGGCATTTACAGGGACTGTGGCAAGGAAGGGTGTGACGCAGGTCTATCAGCTGTCATCATCATGAACTTTGAGGGTCTGGACCCTGGACTGGCAGAGTATGCCCCGGCTATGCATTCTGCCTTGGACCCTGTCCTGGATGCCCACCTGAATCCAAGTCTGCTACAGAATGTGGAGTTGGACCCAGAGGGAGTGGCCTTGGAGGCTCTTCCCGTGCAGGAATCAGTGCACATAATGGAAGGTGTCTACTCTGAATTGCACAGCGTCGTAGCTGAAGTGGGTGTGCCTGTGTCTGTCTCCCACTTTGACTTACATGAAGAGATGCTGTGGGTGGGGAGCCATGGGGTAAGAACCGTACCCCTTTATGAGGGATGAAAGAATATATTGGTATTTTCCCAAGACTTCTGCTTTGCAAGGAGCCAGAACTGAGTTGAAGTGATGAGTTAGCTAAGTCAAACCAAGAGGAGGCTAGTGGAGAAAGAATAGAATTGGCTAGGATCCAGGGATGAGTTACACAGATATTTGTTCTCAGAAGGCATCGCACACTTTTGCCATAGTTTGTCCAAGTTTTGTTTCATTTTTGACGCTGGGGATTGAACCTAGGACTACTCTACTACTGAATTATGTCCTCAGCACAACCCCCCCACACCTTTATTTTTTTGGGGTGGGGGTACTGAAGATTGAAGCTAGAGGTGCTTTACTGTGAACCACATCCCCAGCCCTATTTATTTATTTATTTAGACAGGGTCTCACTAAATTGTCGAGACTGGCCTTGAACTTGTAATCCTCCTCCCTCAGCCTTCCAAATCTCTGTGCCACTGTGATTGACATCCCCAGCCCTTTTAATTTATTTTTTCTGTTTTGAGATAGGGTCTTGCTAAGTTGACCAGGCTGGTTTTAAACTTGGAATTCTCCTGCCTCAGCCTCCCAAGTAGCTGGGATCACAGGTGTGTGCAACTGAGCCTGGCTTATCTCATGTTTTGATTAACTGTACCTTTCACTTAATCTGTAGTCATTCAAATCTTTAATGCCCCTCTTCTGTTTTCCATTCTTATAATTATGGAATGTTTAATGAATATTTTGCATATCTTATACAAAATCGCTTTGTTGGCTGTAGCCGACTTGTGTCTCAGAGCAGTTATCTGCATTAAGTTTTTTTTTTTTTTTTTGGTGATGCTGGGGATGGACCCCCAGGGCCTTGTGCATGCAAGGCAAGCACTCTACCAACAGAGCTATATCCCTAGCCCCCAAGTTTTTGAAAATCTGAGTCCATATTGTTTATATGCCATGAAACCAAAAGTTTTATAATAAATAATATGGTACCAGGTGCACTGGTGCATGTCTATAATCCCAGAAAATTGGGAGACAGAAGCTGGAGGATTGTAAGTTTGAGGAAAAAAGGATGTACTGATATAGGAAAAACAAAAATTCCCAAGATAGTATATAGCATGGTAAGTAGAGTGTAAGAACCACAAGCAATTAAGATTCATTAGACTAGAAGCTGGATCTAGAATGTATACATTTATTCATTCAATTAGCATTTTGTTTTGGGTTTTAACAGGACAAAGAACACAAAATTTATTACATGCCTAGAGGCTAGGGGTATAGTTTAGTGGCAGAGTAAGAATACCTCTCTAGTATGTACAAGGCCTTGGGTTTGATTCCCAGCATCACAAAGACATACACACACACACACACACATTTTATTTATATTAAATGTCCAAGGTGTGGGAGTATTAGTATTAGGCTCTTAACCAAGTTTTTGTTCTCCCAGTGCTGGAGATGGAACCCAGGGTCTTGCACACGCTAGGTAAGTGCTCTACCACTGAGCTATATCCCCCAATCCTCTCAACTAGTGTTTTTTGAGCCACCTACCAGGTGCCATACCTTGCTTTAAGGTTTAGTTTTGGAATAAACAGTAAACAAAAAATGTACATCAGGTGCATCAGTACTCTTTAGAAAAATACAGTGGAAGAAAAATGTTGAAGTAATGAAAGGTGAGAAATGTTACTATTCTAATGGTCAGAAGAGTTCTCTCTGATAAAGCCACTTATTTTTCTTTTTTCTTTTTTGTTGCTAAGGATTGAACCCAGGGCCTCAAATTTACTAAGTATGTACGCCACCACTGAGTTATACCCCCAACCCCTAAAAAGCTCATGAATGGAGAAAAGGATATAGGCCAGAATGATCTAGACCCTCTAGAAGGGAGGGAAGAGCCATGCAAATAATTGGGGAAGAATATTCTAGAGAACTTCACATACTTTGTTAAAAGAGCTTGGACTTGATCCTTCAGGCCACTGAAGGATTTTAAAATCTGGAATGGCAAGGTCTAGTTTATGTCCCAGATGGACTGCTGAGGTAGCATTATAGAGTCTGATTGAAGGAGGATGGGGCAAGACTTAAGTGAGATCAGTTTGTAGGCTATTGTAGCTCACACAAAATATGATTAAACCCTGAAGAAGCAATGAAGTCATGGATATGCAAGAAAAACTTGGGAAACATTTAGAAATTAAACAGGAGTTGACTACCAAATGACTTAGTCGACTAGGTGGATCACTGTACCATAGAGAATATAATAATAATAATAATAATTGAAATGATGTACAAACAGTGAATTTAGAATGTAATGAGTTTGAGGTTCTCATGGGATAGCTAAGGAGTGATATTTAAAAAGTATTTGGATGCATAAGTCTGAAGTTGGAGGCAGTGATCTGGTCTAGAGAAGGAAATAAAACTTGTTTAGCATTAGGATACATAGTTGAAACCTTGAAAACAGATGAGACTGCCTAGGAAGAAGGGTGAGAAGACAGTGGGCTGGGAACATCCATGTTTCAAGTGTGGTCAAAAGAAGGAGAGTATATAAGGAAAAGAATGACTGTATGAAAGTACAAATTACGAGTCAGAAGTGAAATCAGGAGTGAATGACATCATAGAAGGTAGAGGAGGAATGTCTCACATACTCTGTTTTCCAGCCTGTGAATCACAGTGTCCACTTCCCAGATGACTGGTAGAGATTAAGATTTGACTGGAACATAAGAAAGCCAGCTGGCCAGTGGAGGATCAGAACATGTCCTTGGGCTTCTGAACACATCTCTAATAACACCTATTTTATTCAGCAGGATAAATTGAGGTAGAGTGTACCAGAGTATTTTGTAATGCATTAAGCAAAAGTACTTTGCAATACATTAACATAAAGCAGTATTGTCATTGTTTCTATCACTAAGATTAATTGGTTCCTAGCTTTATGCCTCAGTTGCTCCTAGCCAGAAAGGACAGGCAAGGAAGGAGAAGAGCTGAGCTGTACTCAGTTCCTGACCTATATCTAGAATGGTCCTATCCTTCCACTCAGGGTATGTCTGTTGTCTTTGTCCCCTACAGGGTCATGCCACTTCATTTTTTGGCCCAACCTTGGAGCGCTACTCATCTTTTCAGGTCAATGGTAGTGATGACATTCGACAAATCCAGAGCCTAGAGAATGGTATCCTTTTTCTCACCAAGAATAACCTCAAATATATGGCCCGTGGGGGTCTCATTATATTTGATTATTTGTAAGTGACTTTTCAGTTCTAGACTGGTAAAGAGGGAAACTTAGAGATAGTGAACACTAAGGGATTGGCAGCTGGCCTGTTTACCTTTTCTCTCTTGCATAGACTGGATGAGAGTGAGGATATGCACA